GCAGCGCGGCATCGCTTAGAGCATCCTCACGCCGCGCTGGCGCTGGAGCCGTTCTCCCTGTCTCCTGCCTGCCTGTTTCCAGCGCCAGTTTGCCGTTGGCAGGTTTTCCATCCCCAGGCAGCTCTGCTGCGGGCCCTGCGGCCCCGACCGCAGCTGAATCCCCCCAGAGCCGGCCCGTTGTCCAGGGGGAGCCCCCGGGGTGAGGCTCCTCCGCGGGGCCGGGGAAAAATGGCTGGCACATGGGAAAGCGCTCTGAGATGTTTGACGTGGTAATACACAATAAACAGGACAGTAATTTTTCATAGCTACGCTGCATATCAGGACAGGGAAAGTAATCCAACTTTTATAAACAAGCCTTTATTCTACACAACCCAGACGTTCTTTCATGCACAAGACAGGGCTGTGAATTATGAATGTCTGTCATTTTACAATAACTATTCCTTGCTATTTTTTTTTGGAAAATGCAAACAATGAAAAATATATATTTTTTTTTTTGCAGGGACAAAATCCCCATTCTTAGTAGGTGGAAAGTATTTGACTACATCAAAGATGAATAGGTTTAATGTAATACCTGAAACTGAAATTTAAAACGCAAACAAACCAAGCACCGTGGAATGGATTTGTAAAAATGGTTTCATTACGGATTTTAAAAAGTTTGCTTTATACTTGCAGTTTGTTGTCAGAAAGAACTGGCTGAATTCAGTCAAAATGGTTTGTTCTTTGTCTGTCTGTGGTCACCATAGCTACCATTTCAATCTGTTAACATATGTGGTATTATTTTGTTCCTTTCTCTTAAACTCTTTATTCACAGATGCTGTCAAGATTTTCCTTTGTACGTATCTGATCTGTTTGTGCCAGATTTGGCTCTGTGCCTTCTCAAATGAGAGACGCTATGATGAGGACTAGCTGGTTGCACGCTCAGTACAGTAATGGAGACGGTATGAGAAGCCGGGGTGGGACTGGCTCCTGCTCCGCTGCCGCGCGGCGGCTGATGAGGAATACCTGGGGAAGTGGTTAGCAGAGGTGTATCTTCTTCGGGAGCGGTAGGTATTTGCTGAATGTGCTGTGCCAGATCCTCAGCCGCTGTAAATCAGGATAACTGCATTAATTTTAGTGGGGCTGTTGCGCCTGCTGATGGTCAGGTCCTGTGATGTTCCTCATTGCATAGGTTTTGGGGAAGGAGCCAAGAGATGAAGGGAGGCACAGCTAATACATTTGAATAAATAAGTAATAACATTTTATAGCCTCTGTTCTCTTGCTTTTTCCAGTCTTACAGTAGGTTCAGGTTGCCACTGAGGATGGACATGTATCCACTCTGTACAATGTTGGCGAATGGAATATTTAGCGGATATCAGATTATTCACATTTCACATTTTAATTGGCACTGAATGGGGGAAAAAACCCAGTTTTCTCTATTGCTGAATGTGAAAATGATTAAAACGACTGCATTTTCCTTTCCAGCAGTGAAACGGGCAGGGAAATGCATCGATACGAGTATGTACGTGGTACAGTGTGTAGTGGGGAGGCCATAAGAGAAATCAAAGAGTCTGGAAAATACACTGTTTTCTTTCACAACAAAGCCCTCACAGTAAAGAATAAAAGTTATGGTGAGTCTGTCTTTTTTTTTTTTTTTTAAATAAAAGCCTTTGTTTAAAGCTCTGTGGGTTTGATTTTCAGAGCTGCCGAGCACCCCGCACTCTGATTTCTTTTAACTGGAAATGTAGGTGTTCAGCATTTCTGGCAGCCAGGGCCCTCTCCTAATGCCTGCAGAGAGTAGCTGGAGAAAGTGTGAGAAACATTATTGTAATGAGGGGATAATTCTGTCTCTCCTTCCCGCCTTTCGGTGTAGATGAAAGAGTGCCTGGGAGTCATGTTATATGCACTGAAAAGGGGAATTCTGATTTACTGGCTGGGGGTCCCCCGGGGCAGGGATGCTCTCCTATCACAACTCGCACTAAGTCACATCTGCTTTCCCAGAATAAGGCCCATTTTTAAGGACTCCTAGTTCGGCTATAAAATTTCACTTAGCATGCATGAATAGAAACCAAATTGACAAGATAGACCATAACTGCTCTGAGAGGGCCATTAGTTCCTGTCATATGAAAAATCCACGTTCTAAAAAAAGCGAGTATTGTTCAAATTTACACAACAGGCTGTAAATGTTCCGTCTAAGGCATTACAGCCTATCTGGAAAAAATCGCTCTTGATAGCACAGGCACAGCAACAGCAGGGGGCAGATCCGTGTTCCCGGATATTAGCTTGATATTAATCCAGAGCCTTCCAGTGTCTCTGAGCGGGTCTGGAGCAGTGAGAACTCCAGATTCCCACCGGCGCAAGCGGGAAGGGGCAGACCATGGAGCGAGAGCAGCGCGCCTGGCGCGGCGGCTCTGCGAGGGCACCAGCAAGCAGAGCAGGGAACGCAACGCCCATCGAGAAACACCATCCGTCCCCGGTGCTCGGCGCTATAGGGGAGGGCACAGGAAATGCGACTGCATTTGGACCTTGCAGCTTGCAATAAGGGAAAAGCCCCGGGGCTGACGGGAATGCAGCCGTTGTGTTTTCTCGTGATTTTAGGAAGTACCAGGTCATGGCATTTTCAAAATTGTTTTCTTCATTTAGTTGGTGAACAATACTTCACCTGACATCAGATTAAGGTTTTATTGTTGTATTTTCTTTTCCAGGCTTTCATGCGTTGAAGGTTTTCTTCAGCAAATAGCAGCGAGAAACCAACTTTGACTCCTCTCTCCTCCTCCTGCCACCACTAACATTTGAGATTTCCAGATTAGATTTGGCATAAGGGAAGAGAGAGGGTAAAATCAAAGGTCCTAGAGTCCTGATGAGTCCTGATACGGCTTAGCGGTATGTTCAGGGAAACGCTGGGTCTGGTTCTTCTGCAACTGGTTTTCCAGCGAAAGGAATTGCCAGGCTCTTCAGCTCAGTGACCCCCGCGTAGGGCAGAAGGGTGTGAGTAACAGGAGCTCCTCCATCCTGCATAGATGTGTGGGCATATAAGCCTACAAATTTTTACTCTCTCTCATAAAAGTTTGCTTGAACCTACGACTACATATTTTGAGAGTGATTTCAGACGAATTTCTAACAGTTCCCTCTCCAGGAGGAATGGCAGCGGCCAAGACCCTGCAGGATAGCGCTGGCTGAGTTTTCCCAAGGGCTGCCCGTGTCATGGGGAGCGCTTGGGCTGAATGGCGGAGTAAAGGGGCTGTGCTGGGAGAAAGTCAAACCAGGGATTTTTCAGCGGGATTTCAGGAGCAAGTGGTTGCCTCGCAGCTGGACCTCTCTTCCCGGTCACTAGGATTACCAAAGTCAACCGGCTGGTGCCAAACGTGCAGATGCCCCCACGGAAGCCAGGAGACCCTCTGCCTACGTCTGTCCCCAGTTTGCCTTTTGCAGCTCTCGCCAGCAGATCCCAGCAGCGTGGGCACCTGGGAAGTCTCCGCTGCGGAGGGTCTCATGCGGAGGGGTTGTCCTGCTGGATCCGGCCGGCGCTTCCCTGAGTCCATTGCCCTTGCCGCTGGCAGCACGCTTCATAGGGAATAATGCCACAGCGCCACCTGAGCAGCTGCTCCTGGGAAGAGCTTCCTCCATCAGTCAGAAAATAAAGATTGATTTGAACACTGCAGCATAGGGGATTGTATTCCTTGCGAAGCTCTTCTTTAAATTAATATTTACTGTTAAACCCCTGGATCTCTTTTAATGTAAGCATCCAGCCTGTGTCCCACTAGCTCTTGTGACGAGGAGCTCCCCAAAAGGATTGTGTGGCTTTCTTGTTCTAAATCTCCCGTGAGAAAAAATAAGTTACTGGACACCCTGAAAACACCGGCACCTTTCACCTGCAACTCGGTCTCTCCTCTCAGACTTTAGCAGGGCCAGGATTTAGCCAGCACTGGCTGCCCCAGTGCTGAGACGATGAAGAGGAGAAATTAAAAGCAAGACGTTTATAAGCAGAGAGTGATGGTCTCTTCAGACCAGCTCTGCACGAGCTGCAGTTCCTATGATGAAGCAGTTCCTGGGAAGAAACCTGTTTCCCCTTGTTTGTTTTGCTAAGGAACGATGAATCTCTCCTCACCTTCTGTTTCTGTTCTGATATGGAGATTTTCTCCTTAACCACAGACCTGAGCAGAGCAAAACTGCCAGCTATCCAGGGCTGCCATCACTGGTTTGGGTAGGTGCCTCTTCCTGATCCTCAGGAAAGGAAAAGATGCTCATCCTCCCGCATAAGGCAGGGCTTGGTTTTTGGGAGAAGGTACTGGCTCTGGAGGGGTTAATGCCACAGCCGAGCTCCCTAATCGCCGCGTCTGGATGTTGTCCCTTCTGCTTTCCCCTTCCAATCTCCTCTTCTTCACTGCTGCCTGCGAGTGTAGGGTGGGAAGAAGCAAAAAGGAGGTATATTTGCTAAATCTCAAAAAAAAAAAAAAAAAAAGGCTTGCTCTTGGGCGTCGAGCCAAAAAGAGGTATTAGCTGTAAACTGCACAGGAGCTCACAGGAAAGCTGAGTTACTGCTGGCTGCCCCAGAGCACCTTGCGTTTTCCTTTGAATGTGACTACTGCGGGCTCAACCTGGGGAAAAGAAAACCAGTCAGCGGTGGTATCTCCTCAGTGCTTGCAGGTTGCCTTCGCTCTTAAATCATGACTTGCAAGCAAGCTGTAGCAGGCGGTGGGTGAGCTGCCCGCTCGGGGTGTCGCTCGGCACGTGGGGTGATCCCTAACGCCAGAGCCCGGCTGGCCAGGAGAGCTGGAGGGAGGCAAGGGGCAGCAGGGCACCGCAACAACCTCAATTTTAATTAGCCGAGAGAAGCTCTGCGGAGGGAAAGGAAGGTGGGAAGCCCCACGGGAGCAATGGGGGCATGAGGTGGGGGCAGGCCATACGCCCTGGGAACTGAAGCCCTGCTGAGGGAAAGCTCATGGTAGCTCATATGGGCACGTGAGCTTCCTTCCTCTGTGGTTCATGAGCTGCGCAATAGTTCCTAGTGCTGATACTGAGACAGACTTCACCGGGGTTTGCGCTCCCACCTCGCTGGGACAGACGGGATGCTCTTTGCAACTCTGTCACCGAGAAGATACCATGCCAAAGGGAGGGTCTCCAGAGAGCAAGGCAGCACCTTCGTTGCTGGTGCCCACGCAAAAGCTCCCAAGTCCAAGTATTTGCCTACCTTTGCCCTGGCATTGCCAGTGTCTGCCCCGGTGGGATTTATCCCCATCCCCTCCCTCGTCCCCAGGCCCAGCTGTTGGTTTGTTCCCTCTGGCATCGGCCACGAGCCCCACTCTGGGCCTAGACCCAGTTTCCTTGGCTCCGGCTGCCCGGTCCCGGGAAGGCCTCAGCCCTGGCCGCTCCGCGGTCCTTCGCTGCTGCCTGCCCCTCGGCACTCACCCAGTCCCCCCAGCCTTGCTGCACCCGCTCACTCCCACCAGCGTCCTCCCCGTATTTTTCTGCCGGCCTCCCACTCATACAGGATATGAGCCGTTCTCTCCAGTGGGAAATAAAGATTTGGATTAAAGTTTGCTTTATTTTTCCTTCTCCAAAAGCAGCTTTCAGGCTGAAAGGTTACCAGGAAGAATTTTCACATGGCATAGGAGATTCAGGGGCAGATTTTGTAAGGTCTTTATTTTAAAATGAAGTCAGGTGCCTGTTGAGATTTTCAGACAGAAAAAGGTGTTTTTGAAAATTCCTCTTGATGTCTTTTTACATCTTTAGGCATCTAAATGCCTCCAGAGCTTTCACTTTGGAGCACCTAAGTCCCCCTGAAACCGAAGAGAGCCAGGCATCAACTCCTGTACATTCCTTTCAAATTCCAGCCAAAACTGCTGTCGAACTTGGAGCATGAAGGTCTAATGTAAGAGATTATAAACCTGATCTCCGCTCTGCTTTAACAGCAGCTTAGCAGCAAGGAAAAAAAAACAACAACGTCTGTATAAACATCTTGTTCAAAGGGCAACGTTCTTCTGATTAATAGCCTTTCAGTATTAAAAGTAATTGGTCTAGAGAGTGATTAATTGTCCCTTCTACTACAAGTAACCAAATATATGGATATATATGTATATACAGACCATGTATAAACATATGCACATTCTCACCCAGGTAAGCATTTTTGGTGTGTCTGTTTTCAGGGAAAATACAATAAGCATGAAGTGAGAGCTGCTTTTTACAACTCGGGCAAACGGGCTTGGTTTTGGTTTTTGCAGTCCTTCACTGCAAGAACCGACAGCCATCTGTGTGACACGAAACACCGACCTGGGCTAGGAGGAAATCAAGAACTAGACAAAAGACGGTTTGCTTTCTGTCAGGGGAACGAACTCGGCTCAGTTGTCTGCTATCCCCACTCCATTATTACTTCTTCTGTACTTATTTGTGGGACTGACAGGGTTAACGGCAATAAAAAGTTTTCACTTAAAAAGTTGGCAAGGAGAGAAGCTTTTCCCTTGACAAAGATAACTGAATTTCAAGAAATTATTTAAAAAGGCAGTCCTGCCTGGTCCAACCTGTTAGGCTGCGGTAAACATACACAGCAGTGACACCGTTGTTTTAAGGAAAAGACTTTTTTTGCCCCTTTTGCTTTGATAACGAAACTGCTGACCACATTAATCATTTTTAATGTTAAATTATCTAAATTACAGTTACGTCCAGAAGCACCAGCCAAGCTCAGGGACTAGGAAAAACGCTGTCCCTGCATTACGTGACTCTCAGTCTGCTACGGATCGTGTGCGAAACTCCTCCTACTGGTCCGACACGTGGTTTCATGAACCTCAGCTGGATACGCCGGGACACCGGTGCAGTCAATTGTCGGATCACGGCCTAATGTACCAAACTGAAATGTTATTCCAGGTAAACAAGACCTTGTACCCTTTGGAGTCCCTGCTGGTGCTCATGGGGTTTCCTCCTCATCTGTCTCACCTTGCAGAATTAAAATTTAATAAGAGTAAAGTCTTCAAATCCGGTATTTCCAGAGCAAGTGGAAGTAGCTGGAGAAAGAGTATCTCTTGCTTCAAACTTTGCTCATTTGGCTATTGCAGTATTCAGAGGCTGCAAACGTGCACTCACTGTTGCTACTAAAAAATAAAATACAAAATACAGTTCTGTATTTTGTGCACAGTCTCTGTGTACACACTCGCCTACGCTCCGTGAAGAGTTTTCTTTATGGCCAGAGAATTTTTCAAAGTTCATTTCAAGAACGACGCCAAAACTTGTAACGCTGCGTTGGGACGTTCTCTCAGAGCTTTAAAATAATAAGAAAGCAGCCCAACACCGTTTCTAAGGTAGCGAAACAAACACGAACAGCTTTAGGATGGGTTAGACACTAAAAGCTTCATCTGCATCAGAGAGGTAGGTGATCACGGCTCTGGATTTTGTACAGAAAGGTTTGAAAAAAATGCGCACACTGGGACGAAGACAGTAGCATCTGCCCCGGCCTGGAAGGAGAGCTGTGCCAGGTGCCGAGCGGCTGTGATGGTGACAGCCCCGAGGCTTCCTGCTCGGAGGGGACAGACAGACAGATGCACACCCCACTTCGGTACCCCAGGAGGGGGGAACTGACCCCGGGCAGCTCCCGAACCCGGCCGGGGCGCGCAGCGGCATGCTGCTGCTCCAGGCCCGTCTGCTGGGAACAGCGCGGCAAAATCCTGCTCAGAGCCAGGGGCACCGCTGGGACCGAAGTTTTAAGCGATGCACGCAGTGCCTGGTTCAACAGCTTGAGAGAGTCACATTATACTCTAAAGCTTTATGCGACTGATTTAGGTTTGAATCCTGAGGCCTAAGTGGGTAACAGCTCTGAGCGCGGGAGGAGGAGGAGGGAGGGAGAGGAAGTGAAGGAAGACCAAAATTAGGCCCTGATTTGCAAAGTTACACACACGTGTCTCCGTGTGAGCACATCTGCGGTCGCAGGTTCAAGCGCAAGCTGAATACTCAGGTGTGCTTCAGTCTAACTCTTGGGTGAGCTATTTTTTTCAGGCCTGGGGGCTGCAAAGTAGATTGAAACACCTTTTGAACATAACTCAAGCTCATTTTTAAATGAAAAATTGGGTGCTGAGTTCCTCCCCTTGCATTTCTGAAGTAGAAGTACTGGGTTACAGAGAAGGATAATGAACCTTCTGCCATGTTTGCATTTCTGTCTATCATGAAAATGTACTCTACTCTGCAGAACTAATACGCTCTGCACGAGGAAATATCTGCAGCTGTCAATGCTGGGGTTTAAGAGCATCACAAATTATTGCCTAGATTTAGGATCAATATGTTTAAAGACTGTGGCATCAGAAGTTGCTGTCATAAAATTTAGTTTTGTGAGCTACAAGTTATCTTTAGGTAGTGCAAATAAACTTATTTTTTGTGCTGCAAATCAATAAATACCATATAGATTTTATATTCACATGTACATGCATGTGTACATTAAGGAAAGTGATAATGCATCTGTCCGTATACATGCACAACATATACATACTGAATATAGAGGAGAACGTAAATACTGAAAAGAGCTCACACACGTTTCTAAAAGGCTGATGTATGTATTTCTTTCCCTAATTTTAATGGATGAAATATTGCATGAAAAGTAAGGAGGACCCTTTCCGACGAGACAGACTGCCATCTAGAACTAAAATCACCTCGGTAATCTTCAGCAGAGTAATACACAAAATGGAACCATCAGCCCAATATTAAAAACTCCAGCTCCTCACCAGCCCTCCCTTCCCCCTCCTCCTCTGCAAATTCTCTTGGATTAAAATGGCAGAGGGTGGCAGGGAGTGGCTGGGGACAGTTTGTCTGATATGAGATAACTGCTGCTAGTCAAATTGCAGTTTTAACTGCTTTGGCCAATAAAAAAAAAAAAACTTGCTACCAAAGTTAATTTGAATCAAAATAAAAGACACACCCCACGAGCTGCTTGCCATGACTATGCATTGTTTTACCTCACCCTACTGCTCGGTTCAAGCAGGAAATAAAACCTCTCATTTTGTACACTTCTGCTGTCCTTTTTTTGTTAGGACAGGTCTGGTTTCCGCCTCCCCCCCCCCCCCCCCCCCCCTTTCTCTTTCCTTTCCCTGCTCTAGGATGAGCTATGCCCATGAACAGCCTAGAATCTGTCAGATAAACCTCCTGTAAGCCAGGACAGTCTTTAGTGTTACGTTTGATACAGACTCACAGCTTCCACACTGTGCAATTTGGCACTACTGAAAACTCACTGCCATGGAAACCTCCCCACTCCAGACACCACATGGCTTTGCTTTCCTCACTAGAGGTATTAACTGCTT